GCATTGTTTTTAATTCCAAGGAAGGCCACTTTTGCTTGAAATTCTGATAAATGTGTCTCACACAAGTTCTGTGAGCACATCCAGGGGCAAGGTCCTTTATTGCTTCAAGAAAACCTTTTTGACTATCAGAAATGAAGGTCCACTTCCTTTCTTCAACACCTCCAATTTCATCAATGAGCTCTCCCAAGAACCAGGTCCAAGCTTCTCTGTTCTTCACTGGAACCACAGCCAAGGCAATTGGAAACAAGTTGTCATTCCCATCTCTCCCAACAGCACACAACAGCTGCCCACCATGAACTGTTTTAAGAAAAAAATCCATCAAGCCCAATTAATGGCCTACACCCTGATAAAAATCCCATTCTCATTGCAGGAAGGCTGAAGTACATCCTCTCAAACACAGGGGGGTCTGAATATAACACCTTTCTGAGCAGTAACTTAGCTCCTGGATTCTTGCTTCTTACAGTCTCACAGTAATCCCAGAGTTGAGTGTATTCTTCAGCATCCAGCCCTCTAATTTTATTCATTGCAGCATTTTTTGCCCTCAAATTCTTCTAATAGCCAGCTTCTATACCCACCTTCTGTTAGGATAGTAGACTAAAAGTCTCGCTTTTAGCTTCATAATTTTATTATTGAATTAATAAAATAATTTATTATCATTTTATGAGAATCTGCACTAGGGTATTCAATGCATTTAATTGATTGTTTGTCAATTAATTAAAAGCATAAGTCTAATATTCTAATAGTATTCGAAATGGTGTGCTACGGCGCACAGAAAGATCGTTTTGAAAGTTCGTTTAGAATATAAAGATAAACGTTCACAATCTAGATAGAAATGGACTAACCATTGGTAAAAGATTGTAGCACAATATTTAAGTGATTGGTCTTGATCACAGTAAACAGAGAATAACTTTTGTAGTTATTGTTTTGACTTATTGTGCTAGCACACCCGGCATGTGTTGAACCGGACAAAGTGAAATAATTATTTCATCACTGTTCATAAATGAAACTGTATTATTTATAGTTGACAGTATATTACATACTCTCTTAATCCCTAGATAATTAACGTACACATTTAATTGATGATCTCTACTTTGATGTCACAATGGGAGAGATTCCTATATTGAGTCAAATGGTCCCTGGTGCGTTGGGTAGAGACATTAAGAATTAATAGGTGGAAATTAATTATCGAAAGGAATCCACATCTCTGAAATATGAGATTGATATTAACCCTTGAGTAGCTTATAAGATTTGTTTATGCCAAGTCATGGCCAAGTGGATTTCGTATCCGGCATACTCAAATAAGTTAAGCGGGCAAGATTCATGAAAAGAAACCATTTAATTTATTTAGCAGTGAATAAATTATTTGGTGGTTATAAGATATCTTAATGTGGGGAGAATCTAAGTAATGATCGACTGGAGCTCAAATGTAATATTTGAGAATATAAACAGGAGTTCAATAATTATTTGGTAGTGGAAAATAAATAGAGATTAGGTTGATGAGAGAGAATAACTCCAAGACGCCTATTTCACGTTGGAGAGAAATAATTTATCTCTTCTTCTTTTCTCTCTAAGTTTCTCGATTATAGGTTTGGATTTCTCAAGTACAAGTCCACCCTTGTAGAAGAATTATTAATCCGGGATATACAATAGAAGACTATAGGTTTTTAGACCAAACATTTATTCCCGAATTTTCTGAGCAGTTCTGCGAAGAAAATCACCATAAATCAATCATTAGTCGGATAGGCACGAAATTTATACAATAACTTCCTAACCCTTAGATCTACTATACGTACGAAGGGTTTCTCGATCGGATCAATGATCGCGGAGATATCGGTGAAGGAAGAGGACTGGAAATTTCTGGACAGCAGCTTTTACGAAGGTTGAAGGCTTGACGTGGATCCTCGTTCGTGCGCCGAAGATAGAAACGAATCTGCTCGCGAAAACTGTAAGTTGCTAGATTAAATTTATTCCGCATTAAACGAATCTAATCAAAGCATGTTAATAAAATTAAAACCGGCTAATCTAGAACCTCTTGCGAATTTTCATTGAATTCTGGGCTTCACATCCCAACACCTTCCTCATCACAGAATTTCCATGATTGATAATAGTGACATTTGGATTATCTTTAATGGCTTGTTCCATTCTTTGTCCAATGTATTTTGAAGTTGCATGCTTGTTAACTCTCTTTTTTGAACATGTGCTCTTGATCTGCAATGAAAGAAACATTAACACCATAATGCCAAAAGTAAAAGCAATAAGAAAATACTTATTATATGTTTGACACACAGCAGTACCTGAAATGTTGGACCACCCTGCACAACAGAGGCATGGATCCTCCAATTACAGCCTTCAGTTTTGCATTATGTTGTCACCCTTTTCCTTTCATTTTTCCCATATTCTAATTCATAACCATTTCTGACTAACCAATTTGTTAGGGCTTGTCTGAAAAGACCAATATTTCCAAACTTCATCAAAACTTCCAATTCTCTGTTCTTCATATTTTGCCCTTCAGTGAATGTTGGACATTTAGATTTGTTGCAACCATCCAAGTTATCAACAGCATCATCATCTTCAGCTTCACTGTACCACTGGGATTCATATTGGTCAATTGGACATTTATGCAGTCTTTTACTTGGTCTCCTAGCATTCTTCCCCATTCTTCTTAACTTCCTCAATAGGTCTTGCTTAGTGAACTGTCTATCCACAAAGATATCATCATCAGAGGAGCCCTCAATTTCATCTAACTCCTCACTTGGAACATCTGAATGTACATAATTTTCATCTGAAGTAGCATCTTCAGGCTGCAGGTAGTCATCATCTGCAGAATCATCATCCTCAGAATCAACATTTGCTTCTTCGTCTGCTTGATTTTCAACAGTTGGTTCTGCAGCTTCTTGATGTTCAACAGTTGGTTCTGTAGCTGCTTGATTTCCAACACTTGGTTCTTCAGCTACTTGATCTTCAACATTTGGTTCTTCATTTCTTAGTTCATCATTTAGTGGTTCTTCAAATGGTGCTTCAGAAAAGTGTACTTCTTCATCCCATTGCTGCAAATACAATATTTCCACTTCTTCCCTTAATACATTCCCATCCCTATCAACTGCAAGTAGTGGCTCTATACCAATATCTTCAGTGTACAGTGTCAAATGATCTAGACCTTCATGCACACTCACTAACCATGCTATGGAAACATCATCTAAAATCTGCCTTAAGCCATGTTCAAGTGACTGACCAGAGTACAGAAAATAGAAAGTGACATTCAACTTTTTACCTCCACAGTATCTATATAGCGCATATAGTGAATCCATATTCATGTAGTCTAAGCTAATCCTTGTGGTCACTTGCTTTCTTCCTCCAACATAAGACAAGTTGGGGCTATGTGTAAAATTGCCATCTAGCCAAAGAGACACTATCACAAGGTTCTCCATCTGCATACAAAGAAGTGTTCAGTGACTTAAAGACAAACTCAATTATTAAATTGGGCCACATGTTCATCTCCATTATTAAATTAAAGACAAAAAAATTGAACAGTTAAATACATTACTTTATAAAATTGAACCACATGTTAAATACATTACTATATAAGACTTAAATACATTACTGAGTTCACAGTTAAAGACAAAAAAAAAAAATTAACCACATGTTCACTGCTTTAAACAGTTGAATACAAACACTAAAAACATAAATTCTACAATGAATCAACTTGATTAAAGAAATGGTGTAGAAGCCCCACATGTTCCCTGAAGTTCCAGACAAGCACATGTTTTACACAAAAAAATCGATAAATAAATAAAATTTGGACCACAACCCACACATCCCAAAAAAAGCAGACAATGTATGGATGGCTACCACGAATCTTCAAACATATGAACAGAGATTCAACATGCCTTAAAAACAGCAAAAACTCGGAAATCAAAATCCAACCTCTTTAATATATGGGCGAGAATTCTTCTAGTGCTTACATTCCTTTCTTCTGGTTCTGCGGGCTTCGGGATTCAGAGATGCAATTTCAAAATTAGGGCTTCGATTTTTTTTAGGGCTTCGAATTTCCGTTCGGAGATGTGAGATAGTTTTGTTTTTGAGAGTTGATGGTGTGGTGTGAGAGATTGTGTGGCTATAATTTGGATAAGCAAAATCTGAGATACGATTTGGGGGAAAAGGTTAGGATACGTATTTTGGGTATTGAGGTTTTTTTTGCTTTATTTTTTATTAAGGGCAATTCTGTCATTTCACGTAAGTCAAAGGGGCGGGCTAACTAAAACACAACATAGGGGGTTATATGCTAATTTTTTTTTCGGGGGGGTTTTTTGCTTCCGAGAAATAACACAGGGGGTCTATGCAATTAACTCCTATAATATAGTATGGTCAGATTTATTATTTAATTAATTTCTTAAAAAACAAAAAAACTCTAATTTTGGTTTTGAATGAAACTATTATTTTCAAGAAATTGTTAAATGTGGGCCCAATATTGGAATGAGGAGGGCCTATCTATACGCAGCCCATTTGGGCTTATTGGGCTTTTCAGGTTTTGTTTTATAATTTTTAAATTTGTATTCCTTTTTTCTTTTGTAAATACTAAAATTAAAATTATTATTTTCAACGTTTTTTGTTTATATTAAAAAAAGAAATATAAAACACCATTAGTTTAAAAATTAAAATGATGTTGTAAAAAAAAAAATTAATATAGTTGGCTTACCGATAATTATTGGTCAATCGGCTTTTGATACTGACCCATTATAAATGGGTTCGTTGAAATGTTTAACCCGATCCAATGGGCTGGTTAAAAAAATATTATTCACTTGAAAATATAGTCGGTAGGTAATTCCTGATAAAAACGAACCAAATCCGAGTCCAACATCCACCATACCTTCATTAAAAATACTGTAATAAATTTACAAATAATTGTACAAATATTTAAGTTGCTATATTTACAATAAAATTGTTTTTTGAGAGCAGTATATTATAAATAAAATAATTATTATTATGTATTAAATGTGTCACGTCTAGAGAGAGAAGTTAGAGAGAGAGAGAGAGAGAGTGGAGAGCAGTGAAATCCCCTTGTATGTCAGAAACCACTGTGCTGTGACCGATAGATCAAACTCTACTTTTAGTACAGTGAAGAAGCTTCTTTGCTCGGAAAATTCTCACAGCTGCAAATGAATCCAAGCAAAATTGAGGACGATCTGTTCCACCACCTTGGCCCGCCGCCGGACCACCACGAGCAGTTCATGGACCCTCGCCTAATTCAGCCGCACACCTCCATCGACGACGACGAAGACGACGTCGACTTCTCCCTCACCGAAATCGACATCTTCCGCGACGACGAGGACGATGACGTCAGCCACACATCTTCCGATGCGGAAATCCCCCTCCCACCTCCAGACGGCGACGTTTCGTTTCAGAACCCTAATTCGCAGAATCGCCATCCTCCTCCTCCGTCAATCGAACGCAACAAGAGGCCAATTCATCACCCTCCGTTGTGCATTAGCCCCGAACCCTATATTTCGTCCCAATTCTACACCTTCAACAAGGATTCGCACGCTCTGATGACCCGGTGCTTGATCGAGTGCCGATTGGCCACGCCGGAGGAGATCCGGGCGGCGACCTCGCCTCCGGTGCTCGCGAGTTGGCGCTCGGTTTGGAAGGATCGGAACGAAGATACTGCGTATTTGACGGCGTGGAAGCGCATCCAGGAAAAGCTAACCATCCACTCCTCGGAATCCGCTGCCAGCACTGCCGGTAATAACAGCCATTTCATTTGTTTCAAGAATAATTCTACTCAGTACGTTTCGCATGTTGATCAGTGGCAGGACATAGTGATGTCACTGCACTGTGATGGGGATTTCAAACACTTGGGGTTGAAAGAAACCATAGAGAGAATTAAGCAGGTGTGGACTGTGGGAGCAAAATTTTATGGCATACCTGAGAGTTATATCAAGACATGTGTGGCTGCTTGCCCGGTTTGCTCAGACGAGTCTTCCGGTTGTGCTCCGAGATCTAAGAGACGCAGGTTTGAATACACGGAGTCTTTTGATGTGCCCGCCAAGGAAGTACCAGTAAAGTTGCAACAGCTGGCTGCGACCCATAAGGTCGTGTTGTGTATACGACAGAAGTATATTAGGTACAAACCATTTATGGCGGAGGTTAAGGATTACGCGTGTCACAGGGCAGGTGAGCCAGCTTCCTCGAAAAAATCAAGAATTCAGAAGAGGGAGCCGTATACGTCAAAGCGGTGTGGGTGTGGGTTTCGTATAAGGGCGATAGTTCCAATATCAAATTATAATGAGAAAGATAAGACATTTGTCTACGAGGAAGAGGGGACAGCTGTGTTTAAGCTCTATGCGGTGCATTCAGGACATGAACCAGGGCCGTTGGATGGGAATGCAAGGATTATGCATCGAGTGGTTGGACATAAAGGGGGCTTTCTGATGGATCACGAGACTGTTTACGAGATGGCTGATGATGGGGAAAATGAGGGTTTCGGGTTCTTTGGGAAGGATCCAGGAGATCTGAGGAATTCAATTTTGCAACAAGTGCAAGAATTGAAGAATGAGTTGGGCATGCTCGAGGGTAGAATTGGGAAAGTTCCACCCCCGTTCTTGGGTTATGTGTCGCGCGATCTCTTTGAAATCGTGAATAAGCTCAAGAATGTTGCGGATGATGGATCAAAATCTGTTGGGCTGTTGTCAGAGAAGCAGCACATGGATGATGTTTTGGTGGTGGAGCACGATTTGCCGGATTGGGTTGACGATAACCACACAAGGATCTATGGGGATGGCAAAGATATAGATGTTATAGAAGATGACGAGGACAGTTTTGGGAGAACTCTTGGGGAGGTTGTTTCTTGGGAACAGATGAGGACCGAGTGCACGAATGAAAAGGATCTAATCGGTGAGACTTGTAAAGAGGAGAAGTGGCTGAAGTGTGGTGAGTTTGATCAGAAGGTAATCCTTGGCTGCAGTAACCCTATGCTGACCAAGCCCTTAGGGCATGGCGAGGCAATAGATTCAGATGTAGGTCTTTCTGGTTTGCAGGTGGATGGCTTCTATCAGGAAAATCCCAAATGGTTCGACTCTCCTTGTGCGCTGGATCCTGGAGCTGATTGTGGTGATGGTGGTTTCAGACATGGGGAGATCTAGTAGAGACCAGTTATCTCGGTGAACCCACTCAAACTTAATCTGAGTTTATTTTGGTGTCTTTAATCTTAATTTACTGTTGGAAGTCGGTTGTATGTTTGTGTCTGGGAGGCTATTATAATTACAGTCCCTTATGTGTCTTAGTTGTGTGTAAATTTCTGTAGTATAGCCATAATGGCATCTCTGCATATACTTTAAATGACGCTCTGTTGACTTTGTTTGGTTTTGAATTTGAACTTCGAGTTGCTAATATGTTATGTTTGCTCCCCTTGCGACTGACCTCTTCAGCTTTATTCGGTGTTTGTGCGTTTTCCATAGATGTATTTCTAAATTTTCTATTGTTCAGATGCATCTTATATGTTATTGCTTAATGCCTCATTAGGTATTGTGACAACTTGCATTCTTCTTTTAAAGAAAATCTCACTATATGATTGTTAAGTAGTTTCTATTTGCCAGTTCTTTCTTGATTGTTCCATTTTTACCGCCATTGGAGATACTGACAAGTAACAATATGTTGACTTTGATATCTTGAATGTCAGGTTCCAATTCTAACATTTCTGATTGTCTAGATGTTGGCATGTCATGGGTTCACTATATTGATGACATTTTCAATCTCCTACCCCTGCTTTTAATGTTATTTGACTTTGATTTCAGTTAATATAATTGGTCTTTGTGGTTTTACGCTAGTCGTCTTGTTTTTTGCATGCTAATTATCTGTGCCCTTAATTTGGTTGAGGAACCTATATGTTATTCTTTGCATACATGGTAAATGAGCTGATTTAATATATTAACACATACTACAATGGGAATGGGCTGATTTATGGTTATCTGATCCGATAGTATCTTTGCCTTCTGTTATAACTGTGTTATTCTGTGAGCAGATTAGATAATATTCTGTTGAAGTTATTATTTGAATTCGTTTCTCTTCTCTGTACATATACTATAAAAGCTATTTCCATTTTAAAAACTAAAAACTCCTGCTTTGCTGTGTTAAACATGGTAGAGCATCTCCAACAAGGAGAGCTGTATTCTTTATTTAAATGAAAGTTATAGTTACTCTACATTGTTTTTGCTACCCACTTTAGCTACTGAACCCGATATGCGATAAAACTTTTGAACTCTAGTTAGTATTTGCCTAAACTATTTGAAGTTCGAGATTACTTTCTAATTTGTATTTTGAAGTTGTATCATTGAGACCTTTTGGCATAATTTGTTTTTTAATCATAAAATAATAAACATAATTAAATACAATAAGAACATACATTAGGGAGATTGTGGGTGAAGAGATTGCAGTTGGGTACTTTTGGAAGAAAAAGAGAAGCTGAAATTTTAGCTCATTCTTCAAAGTTAAAAGGTTTTTATTCAAGGTTGAGGCATCCTTAAAATTTTAGCGTTCCTTGTTGGAGCATCATTTTTTGAGATGGTTGACTAAAATCTTGAAATTTAGTTAACAAAAAGGAATATATATTTATTTAAATTGTTGGGGATGCTCTTAGACACCATTATTTGGGTTCCCAATGGTGTGATCCATGTCCGAAGCTGAGGTTGTGTAAGTTAGTTTGCAATTTAGGACTAATGCTTTAGACAGTTGTGAGTAACCTTATTTTATGTAAAAGTTGGTTTATTAACTTTTATTGAGAAAAATAGCATTTCTTCTTACTTTATAGAACATTGATTAAGGAAATCTTTCTCTTATTGATGATTGACTCGAAGGTAATAAACAAATAGCAGTAACCTACGGATGGGGTATTTATCGATGCTTAATTATGGGAACTAATTAATTCCGATGCTTATTTTGCAAAGCTGTTAATTTGATATAAATGCAAGAATTGATTCTGAGTGTTCCCTACCTATTTTTTCCTGGGATTCTGACCCATTGTTTTGTTAATCCAGGCAACCATATTCATACATTAAAATCATTTCGTAAAGATTACAACTATTACCATTTTTAGGCGTGGGGGGGGGGGGGGGGGGGGAGAGGA